AAAAATTCTGTAAAATTTTGTAATGAATATTTTGTAAATACAGGTACATTTATCTACAATTTCCCATTTTCCCTACATATGGAGATTTTTGGGACACCTGTATTATGGATGTACACTTACTATCTCTATAATGACACCTTCCCACTGCATGTTTTAGCCATCGTCATCATCACCAGGACTGCTATGAACTGAATGTTTGTGTCCCTCGCCCCAAATGTATATGCTGAAGCCCTCATCCCCAGCATGATGATAGCTGGAGGTGGCGCCTTTGGGAAGTGATTAGGTTGAGATGAGATTCCGAAGACAGAGCCTTAACAATGGGATTAGTACCTTTATAAGAAGAGAAAGAGACCAAAGCCCCCTCTCTCTGCCACGTGAGGACATAGCAAGAAGTTAGCAGTCTGCAAGCTGGATGAAGGTCCTAACCTTGACAATGCCGGCCTTCCGGCCTCCAGAACTGCGAGAAATAATTGTCTGTCGTTTAAGCAACCCACGCTGTGATATTTTGTTATAGCAGCCTGAGTAGACTAAGACAGGGAGCAAAGCACTCTATGAGTGTTGCAGAAAATTATTTAATGTATAGAAATGTGCCATAAAAACTTTAAAGTGCTAATTGACACAAGAACAGAAAAGCCATAGACCCTCTCCTGAGATGTCTACAATCTAAAGACTAGAAAAAATGCACATGGCTAATAAACACAGACATGCGTGTGTCTAGACACATGTACATTTAAAGACAAATAATGACAATAACGAATATTGAAAAAAATCCATGTCTGTATCTATGATGGAGAATAAAAAAGTAGGTCAGGGGCAATGAAAATATTGGGACGATTTTGCCCTTTATTTAAAAATGTTCTATTAAAAAATCAAGTCTTACAAGTAAAATCTTAAAAACAATCTTTTATACATAAAATTCATAGCAAGCCTCCTCTATTCGATTGTGAAAACCGTTGTAGAAGCACACCTCCTTATATTAATGGAGCATACACAGAGCAAATGCCCATCACTCAAGGGCCCAGATGTACCCATGGAACATGTAAGACCAAGCAACTCATGCACTGTCACATCGGCAAAGCCTTACTGTTAAGGGAAAGATTCCTATACAAGATCCATTTGAAAATCCATTTCACACTTCCAATTTAAAGCCAATTCAAATGTAATTTACTTAATCAGGGCCCTTCATTTAGTGAGGGTCAGAAGCACAATCAACAGAGGTGACAATTACTTGTGTTTATGAAAAGATGACCTGGTACCACTAGTGCTGAGCAAGAAAAAACAAAACCGGGACTCCCACTGGAAACCATGGCTATTATTGCATAGACAGATCTTCTTACAAACCACCACATTCTAAGAAAAAGCTTTTACTTGCATCATCTCTGCACCAAATGCAACCTCATTTGCAATTCTATTTTAGTGCCCTAACAGTCACTTTACTTTTCCAATGTCAATGATCTAAGAGAGGTGAAATAATACTTCTGGCACAAAATTTAAACTTACCACTCTCGTCATCTATACTGAACCTTCCAAGACCACTTCCATCCCTGATGGAGTACTGGACCTCTCCATCCCTCCCGGAGTCTTCATCTCGGGCAGTCACCTGAAGCACACTGGTTCCAATGCGTGAGTTTTCTTTTACAGATCCAACAACAGCAAAGTCCGGGAAATAGGGGGTGTGGAGGTTTTCATTGACATCCACCACTTCCACCTCAACAAAGGAAACAGATGACAGAGAGACAGGCCGCCCTTTGTCTTTGGCCCGAACCGTCAGGTTATAGAACTGCTGCTTTTCATAGTCGAGCTCTTTGCTCAAGCGGATGGCACCACTTGCTTTATCTATTTCAAATCTCCCATTATAGTCATTGACCAAAGAATAGCGCACTTGACCCCCCAATCCAAGATCCGGATCATGAGTCTCCAGCCAAGCGATGACAGTGCCAATGGGGAGATCTTCAAGGACCTTCACACTATAGCTACTGGGAATGAAAGCTGGAGAGCAGTCATTGACGTCATCCAAAAACACCTTAAGAGTGACAACTGAGAACAGTTGCTGACCACTTTCTGCCTTGTCTCTGGCTTCTATTTTCAAAGAGTAGTTTGCTTTTAATTCCCTGTCCAATTGGTCAGCTACATAAATGATTCCAGTTGAGCTATTGATGGCAAACTGCCGGGTATCTGTCAAGACCGAGTAAGTTACTTCACCATTAGAACCCAAGTCTCTGTCTCTGGCTTCCACTTGAATAATCTCAGTACCAATACTTGAACTTTCAAGAATGTTAACTGAGTAACTGTCTTGAAGAAAAACTGGGCTGTTGTCATTAGCATCCTCCACATTGATGGTCAGCAGCCTCCACGAAGATTTCTGTGGATTGCCTAAGTCATAGATGGTGATATTAAGGAGATAGAGATCTGTGTGTTCTCGATCCATGGGCATAAGGACCTTCAGCTGCCCAGTCTCCATATCGATGTTAAAGCAACTATCTGTATTTCCATCAGCTATTGTAAATAGCACCTTTCCATTGAAGCCAGAGTCAGCATCATAGGCTTGAATCTTCAGGATGTTAGCACCAACTGGTAGATCCTCCTTCACAGCCACATCAGAAGGAAAAGACTTGTCAAAATGTGGTCCCTGCCTGTTAATTGAATAAAAGTCAAGAAATCCATCTTCCAGATTCAGTTTCCCATTTGCTTTTGCCTTAATGAGCAGTTTCTCTGCCAGCTTTTGAGCCACACGAGTTTCTCTGCAACTGAAGCTCTTTGAAGACACCTTCCCATGTAGGACTGAAATGTTAATAGACATGGGGTCTGCAAGATTCTCTCCATCGGTTGCTGTAATTCTGAGGGCAAAATTACCATTTTTAACTCCAGAATTCAACAGTGACTTTTTAAGCTGTAAAACACCAGAGTCTGGGTTTAAATAAAAGAAGCCAAGTTCATTTCCCGAAATGATTTTGTATTTTACAAGTTCAAGTTCATCAATATCGATCGCTGAGACAGCTGTGATGTGACCACCGACTGGAAAGTCATACGAAATAACTCCCTGGCAAGCCACTTTTTCAAAGAGAGGGCTGTTGTCATTGACATTTCCTATTCGAATAGTCACGTTTACTTCACTCTCATGGCGGTATGGTGAACCCCAGTCAGAGGCCCTCACAATGAATCTGTAAGTTTCTGGAGAAGACTCAAAATCCAATTCTTCAGTTGTGCTAATAACACCCGTAAACTGGTTAATGGCAAATGGTAACAAATTCAGGCTAGCAATACTATAAGTGATGTACCCGTTTTCTCCTTTATCCTTATCGAAAGCCGAGACTGTCAGAACGCTTGTTCCCACGGGAACACTTTCATTCACATAAGCATCGTACAGCAGCTGCTGAAATTCTGGAGTGTGGTCGTTCGCATCTTCTATGCCGATGGTGACTTGTGCTTTTAAATCTCCCTCCTTGTTTGTCACCTCCAGTTTATAAACCTCCTTCTTAACAGTGTTCAGTGGCTGTGCTGTAACAATCAGACCTGACCTAGGATTGACTTTAAAATATTCTGCATCCTCACCAGGAGATAATTTGTATTCCACATCGAGCGGTTCAGGACTTAATTTCACTACAGCAACCATAACACCAGGAGGGGAAAACTCACTTATGCTCACATCATACACTTCTTTTTCAAATCTAGCTGGGACAGTGTCTCTTTTGGGGTTGGCAATGTGAACCGTCTGTAATGCTGAAAACTTTTGAGGAGACCCCTTGTCTTTTGCTTGAAGAGTGAGATTGTAGCCATAGGAAAAGCTCTTCCAGTCAACCTGCTTTCTCTCCTTAATCTTGTACTCGTTCAACCACTTTCCTTCCTTGGCCAGGAAGAACTGATCTAAAGGATCCCCAGCCACAATGGAAACAGATTCGATCTCTCCGTTAGCCCCCTCATCTAAGTCATCAACTGTCACCACCCAATTCAAATGTAATTTACTTAATCAGGGCCCTTCATTTAGTGAGGGTCAGAAGCACAATCAACAGAGGTGACAATTACTTATGTTTATGAAAAGATGACCTGGTACCACTAGTGCTGAGCAAGAAAAAACAAAACCGGGACTCCCACTGGAAACCATGGCTATTATTGCATAGACAGATCTTCTTACAAACCACCACATTCTAAGAAAAAGCTTTTACTTGCATCATCTCTGCACCAAATGCAACCTCATTTGCAATTCTATTTTAGTGCCCTAACAGTCACTTTACTTTTCCAATGTCAATGATCTAAGAGAGGTGAAATAATACTTCTGGCACAAAATTTAAACTTACCACTCTCGTCATCTATACTGAACCTTCCAAGACCACTTCCATCCCTGATGGAGTACTGGATCTCTCCATCCCTCCCGGAGTCTTCATCTCGGGCAGTCACCTGAAGCACACTGGTTCCAATGCGTGAGTTTTCTTTTACAGATCCAACAACAGCAAAGTCCGGGAAATAGGGGGTGTGGAGGTTTTCATTGACATCCACCACTTCCACCTCAACAAAGGAAACAGATGACAGAGAGACAGGCCGCCCTTTGTCTTTGGCCCGAACCGTCAGGTTATAGAACTGCTGCTTTTCATAGTCGAGCTCTTTGCTCAAGCGGATGGCACCACTTGCTTTATCTATTTCAAATCTCCCATTATAGTCATTGACCAAAGAATAGCGCACTTGACCCCCCAATCCAAGATCCGGATCATGAGTCTCCAGCCAAGCGATGACAGTGCCAATGGGGAGATCTTCAAGGACCTTCACACTATAGCTACTGGGAATGAAAGCTGGAGAGCAGTCATTGACGTCATCCAAAAACACCTTAAGAGTGACAACTGAGAACAGTTGCTGACCACTTTCTGCCTTGTCCCTGGCTTCTATTTTCAAAGAGTAGTTTGCTTTTGATTCCCTGTCCAATTGGTCAGCTACATAAATGATTCCAGTTGAGCTATTGATGGCAAACTGCCGGGTATCTGTCAAGACCGAGTAAGTTACTTCACCATTAGAACCCAAGTCTCTGTCTCTGGCTTCCACTTGAATAATCTCAGTACCAATACTTGAACTTTCAAGAATGTTAACTGAGTAACTGTCTTGAAGAAAAACTGGGCTGTTGTCATTAGCATCCTCCACATTGATGGTCAGCAGCCTCCACGAAGATTTCTGTGGATTGCCTAAGTCATAGATGGTGATATTAAGGAGATAGAGATCTGTGTGTTCTCGATCCATGGGCATAAGGACCTTCAGCTGCCCAGTCTCCATATCGATGTTAAAGCAACTATCTGTATTTCCATCAGCTATTGTAAATAGCACCTTTCCATTGAAGCCAGAGTCAGCATCATAGGCTTGAATCTTCAGGATGTTAGCACCAACTGGTAGATCCTCCTTCACAGCCACATCAGAAGGAAAAGACTTGTCAAAATGTGGTCCCTGCCTGTTAATTGAATAAAAGTCAAGAAATCCATCTTCCAGATTCAGTTTCCCATTTGCTTTTGCCTTAATGAGCAGTTTCTCTGCCAGCTTTTGAGCCACACGAGTTTCTCTGCAACTGAAACTCTTTGAAGACACCTTCCCATGTAGGACTGAAATGTTAATAGACATGGGGTCTGCAAGATTCTCTCCATCGGTTGCTGTAATTCTGAGGGCAAAATTACCATTTTTAACTCCAGAATTCAACAGTGACTTTTTAAGCTGTAAAACACCAGAGTCTGGGTTTAAATAAAAGAAGCCAAGTTCATTTCCCGAAATGATTTTGTA